GTGTACGCAAACGGAGATAGTCAGGGAAATTAAATACTCATTAGGGATTTGTGGACATTAAAGAATTATTCATTTATTATTAGGTATCATAGTTACTGTGTTTGTCTATAAAAATCATACTTTTCAGAGCAACATGTTGGGCACTTTACAGATGACATGATACAGTGAATGGGATCTGCTTCAAAACGACCTGGGCAGGGAAGGGAGAGTGTGGAAAGGATGGAGGCTGAGTTAAGGATGGAGCTTACCTGTGCATTGATAATTGACAAAGGGGTTTATTCTATGATTCTTTCTATTTTTATATTTACATGAAATTTCCATTTTAAGAGTAAAATGTTTTAGATCATGGGTTGGAGGATGGAGAAGACAGTGAGAAGATGAGGAGGGATAGTATCAGGCACCCCTTTGGGCTAGCAGGCATGCTGGGCATTTTCTCACATGTCATTGAATTTAGTTCTTGCCCCAGTCCAAGGAAGTGGTTACGATTTTTCTGTTTTATGAATGAGGACACTGAGGCTAGAGTAATTTCCTGATTTTTTCTAACATCTCAAAACTAGTACTTGAGAGACCTGGAATAAATATTCCTGGACTGACCCTTTATTCCCTTGCTTTTCTTTGGTGTTTTCACACATGCACACAAATACTACTCATCCATGAAAACTAGGAAACCCTACCATTTGTAACAAAATGGATGTACCTTGAGGTCATTGTGCTAAGTTGAATGTCAGACAGAGAAAGACAAATGCCATATGATCTCACTTATACGTGGAATATAAATAACCTAACTCACAGTAGCAGAGTAGAGTGGTGGTTGCCGGGGGTATGGATCTGGGGAAACTGATGTAAGTGGTCAAAGGGTACAAACTCCCAGTTATAAAGTGAGCAAGTTCTGGGATCTAACGCACATCACGGTGACTATAGTTAACAATACTATTGATACATTGTATACTTGAAAGGTGCCAAGAGACTAGACCTTAAAAGTTCTTACCACAAAAAATAAGGTAATTTTGTTAGGTGATGGATATGGTTACTAGCCATCTTGTGATAATCATTCTGTATTATCTGCATATATGAAAACATCATATTGTATAACTTTAAACTTACATGGTGTTATATGTCAATGATATTTCAATAAAGCTGGAAAAAAAGGGTCAGTTGGAAGAGAACTGTTAACTGTCTGTTTGCACCAAGTTTCTTTATTTGCTAACTCAGGTTCAGTGTGTAGATTAGTTTAAGGACAATTATCAAGTTCAAACATTTTTCTGTTAAATCAGACACTTTATGTGTGATTGTCTTCTAAAATTTTCCTTTAGTGAACTGGCAGAATTAAAATAAATTACTTGAAATTTAAGAGTTTATAATAAATATTTTACTATTCCTAATTGATTATCATCTACAGACTTTCTTCTGAAATGGCTTAATCAGTGTTGTTTATAAATCATTTATATGATTTTTAGTTAGACATAAAGATACTTCATAATTCACCACATAGGCATTGTTTTTATTCTTTGAATTATTTTTAATTTAATCAATATAAATTTTGCTCTTGTTTTATGAAATCAGAGTTTGCAAGTTATTATGGAGGAAACAAAGGGATTTCAGGCATGATCCAGGCTTGCACGAACAGTAGGTTGACCCCCTGGGTGGGCTACTTGGGGAGAGGAGGCCTGGCCTAAGACAACTCCTCAGGCGGATGAATTTCCTGCTGATAGGAAATACCGAGCAAACCTGTTCCCTTTGGGAGAATTTTTTACTGGAAATGCTTTTCTCATTAAATTTGAGTATATACTTACTTAAGAACCTCAACATCTAGGGACCTCTAGTCTTAGGAGGGCAAAGTAAATTTATACGTTTTGAAGGAGTAATTAGGATTTACATTGTTTAGCACTGAAATTTTAAATGATTTATTTATTCATACGCTTAAAATATTTTGAAAAATATGTTTTATTCAGAGTGCACTTAAAAACATTTTCTGCCGTGTCCTGATGTCTGTGGTGTGCTCTGTGGTGGGCTGAGCACTGCTGTCTTTGCTGAAATGCTTCCATAAAGACTTATGGAAATATGTTTATTTAGCTTACTCAAATATACACAATTTGTCCAAAGAAAAATACGTTATCTTAATTTATTACAGGTAAATAGACTATATTCATGAAATTTTAGAGATGCAATAATTTTTTTAAAAAGCAGATTTTTTTTAAAAAAGCTTTGTGCTTTCCAAAAAATAAAAATAGTAGAGTCACAAAAAAAGAAAAAAGGAAAAAAAGAAACAGTAGAGTCACATTTTTCTTCATCTATAAAACATTCACCTCTTGACTCCGCTGCCCTCGTTTGCACGTCTTCATATCGCTCCGCACATCGGCCATTTCTCACTGAGTTTCTGCCGCCAGCTGGAGTTAAACCCGCTGCATATCAAACTGCTTATCTTTCTCTCTGTGCTCTGCACTCCAGCGGCAGTGGCATCTCATTTATTTCATTTCAAATAAGCGACCAAGGAGGATTTTTTTTTTCCCTTCAGATTCTCTGCAGTTCTCACCTTTTGAGCATACTCAAATCTAAATCCTATTGTACTTTCTCATGAGTGGTGTCAGAACCTATCTCTTGTTACAATGGTCAGTTTCTTTGCCCCTGTTCTTCGATGTTGAGCCTGTAGTAAGACAAATGTCTCAGCCCAGTTCTGCCCCCTGACACAAATGAGAATAATAACATTGAATTAACTATCCAACCTTTGAAATGTACTATCTATAAAATGAAACTTCAAGGGGTGGGACTTGGAGCTGGAGGCACTATCTGGTTGGATCTTTGAGTCACTCCCCCTTGGGAGTTGAGTTGAGAACCCTCCAAAGGAGAGCCACAAGGTAGATTCACGCTAGAAACTACAACCCGAGGGTGAACATCAAAGAATAAGGAATTCAACTTGCACAGCTCAAGGCTAAGGCATGACTCAATAAAAAGCCACTAGATTTTAACAGTTGTTATGCAGAAACATTTACTAGGAATCAAATATGCAAATTAAAAAACTAAACTGATATAATTTTTATCATAACCTTTGAATTAAACCTGCCTCATCAATTCTCTGCTCCATTTCTCTGTTCATATTTACATTGAAGTGTCTGTTCTTACCCAGCTGGCCCATTCCTGAGGTTCAGTTTACCGTGTTTTTCCCCAGATATATCAAACATAGAGAAGTGGTTTAAATCAGTCCACATCCTTAAATAAGTGGTCTGATAGCATATGTACAGAATTCTACAGTCTAATTGTGCTACCCCAGTATAGTAATTCGTCTGTCACAGTAGGTCTTGTAATTCCCATCGTCCCATTTTATGTTTGGAGAAAGTGAAATTCCGAGAAGTAACATTTCAGAGACACACAGGCGAAAACTGATTCTAAAGCTGTAAATGAATTTATAGATTTTTTTATCCTAAAACATGTCTTTGTCTTGATTTGCTTTCAGAAACAAATTTAGGTTTAACATTTAACAATATTGTTGTTAATTTTAATTCTTATACTTCAAATAATATTAAATAGTGGCAGATGAATATGCCTTTGTAGATATTACAAAACATTAATTTGATTATGTGACTTCAGAGCTGAAAGCCATTATAGTGTTTTGATTTTCTGACTCTGGGAACATAAATATGGAAGGAATTCAGATTAGTTGCTAAGTTATGCCAACATTATTACTAAAATATTTGCTACATTTTTCATTGTGGGCTGGGAATCAATATTAAGATATACAGCTACTTCCTATTGCTTGTTACCACTTGGGTAAATGTCTATCTAATATGTTGTAGTCATATTTCAATATTGCATAAGGTGTTGTATTGGTATATTAATTAATATTACATTGTATATATTGTAATACTATGTTTCTGTTGTATTGTTTTATTTGTATATTATTTCTGAGCATTGTAAAGACTCAGAGACCAGGTCTGAATTTTTAAGGAATTGACCAAGACTCTTGTAATACTAAAAATTACAGCTAAACATAATTTAAGGGAAGCCTGTGCCCCTCAGATCAAGATATTTTAAATTAGATGTTTTCTCACTATAAGACAAATGCATATTTATCATAGAATATTGGAAAGTCATGGCTGTGCCAGAAAGATAAATTAAAATTAACCTATGCTTCCTGCATTCAGATAAAACTATTAAAATTTAGTCTTATAATAGTTTCTTCCAACAAATCAAGCAGTATCTGGCACATAGTAGGTATGAATAAATATAAGACAAGGAATAAATTAATAGATTAATGTATCAATGATGGATATACATCCATATGAATGTTTAAACAAAATTAGATTATAAAATAGGTACTATTTTTTAACCTGCCTTTTTCCACTTACCAAGATAGTCTTAGTAATTACATGTATTCAGTATTCTCATAACACTTTAAAGGATTAAATAACAAATATTGAAAATATCATTTAAAGAGCCACATCATATCCAAGTGTATGAAAGGAAATCACATTGACATTTCTGAATTAGCATAGGATACCTTTCAGTGACATCGCCCTACTTGGAACCTCATCTGGATCCTAAAAGTTCAAAATGCCCCCAATTGGAGGCAGTGCACCTTCCAGCTCCATCTCCTTTTTCCCTTATGTCCTGACCCCATTCCACTTTCCTCCTGCAAAATTACTTAAAATTTCCCAGCGACACCAAGTTCTTTCACTGTGTGGGCCTCACAACACACTCTTCCTTCTACCACAAACTTTCATCCTGTACCTCCTTCCTGAGAACACACATGCAGCTTCCAGATTGAAATAGAAGATTTCACTCCTTTGTCCTTTGTGACAGTGACCTTTAGGAATCAGCACAAATGACATAGAGTAAGTGATCCAGTGGTGATGGAGAGAACTGAAATTTTAACTTAATTCAGAAAGAAAAAAAGGAATCTTTTGATGTGAGGAAGCAGCTGAAACTCTAGCCAAATTATTTCCTTGTTGTCCTAGTGATCAGAGTAAATAATCTCTGGCGGCACATTCTTTTCTGTTCTTCAGGAAACAATGGCCTTTAACTCCTCTCTTCTGAGACCCTGTGTGATTGGGGAATGGATTGGTCGAGAAGAGAATGATGCCGATCCATTAGCGGCTGAAATGCTGCAGCCCCCAATTCCGAGAAGTAAAAATGAACAATGGGAAAGTGAAGACAGCAGCTGTAGCCCTGCAGGAAGGTAAGATTAAATGTCATCTAAGATTCTGAATATTATTAATCATTACAAGGTAAAGGCAAAATAAATCCAACTGCATGATTTCTTGAAATAACTCTTAGCAATTTTATATAGAAAATTATGTTGACTTCCCACAAGATAAACATTAATTTCTCTGCTTTAACATTAGAGTGCTACTTGATTTGCTTTTAGGTTTTGGTTGTGATTTTTTTCTTTACATCTGAGAAAATTACCATTTCTTTGCTATAATCCCAAACAGAGAAATAATCTCAAGGCTATAACTGTCAGTTGAGACTTTCTATAATGTTGGGTGGGGCATGGCTAACTGTTAAGAATTGGAGGTACATATATCTTTATAATAAATGTTTTCAAATTTTTGGGTCAGATACTCAGAAGAGACATTGCTAAGTAGTGTGGTAGCTCTGTTCTTAATTGTTGGACGGACCTCCATAGTGTTTTCCATAGTGGCTCTACCAGCTTACATTCCCACCAGCAGTGAATGAGGTTTCCTTTTTCTCTACATCCTTTCCAACATTTGTTATTTCTTGACTTATTGATGATAGCCATTCTAACAGATGTGAGGTGGTATCTGATTGCGGTTTTGATCCGCAATTCCTGTATGGTTAGTGACGCTGAGCATGTTTTCATGCATCTATTGGCCGTCTGTGTGTCTTCTTGGGAAAAGTGTCAGTTCATGTCCTCTTCCCTTTTTAATTGGATCGTTTGTTTTGCTATTGTTGAGTTGTATGAGTTTCTTATATATTTTAGATGTTTAGCCCCTTATTGGAAGTAAGCTTGCAAGTATCTTCTCCCCCTTCAGGTCCTTGTCTTTGGTTGATAGCATTTTTTTTTGTAGTGCAGGAGCTTTTTAGTTTGGTATAGTCACATTCATTTATTTTTGCTTATACCTTTCTTGCCTTTGGGGTCAAGTTCAAAAAATACCCTCTCAGAATGAGGGACATAAAACTGAAAGCAACAAACTAATAGACACAGACAACAGTGTGGTGGTTACCAGAGGTAAAGAGGGTGGGAGGAGAATGAAGAGGGTCAAGGGGGTCAAATGTACAGTGAGGGAAGGAGACAAATCTTTGGGTGGTGAGCACACAATGCTAAGTGCAGGTGGTTTGTGATGTAATTGTACACCTAAAACCTATGTAATTTCATTAATCAATGTCAGCCCAATAGATTTAATTCAAAAATAATGGGAGAGGGAGGACTTCTGATGTACAAGAGATATATAGTCAACAGGGAAAAGAAAACTATTAAATGTATACTAGACAATATAAGCCAGTGTTAAGGTGGAATATGAAGAGAGAGAAACCTTGGTTAGAATCTTTTAAGTTTAGAGTTGATAGCTATGATTGCATATAATTACTTACATTTTCTTTTATTTGATGTTTGAAACTATTACAATCTGTGTATTTGAAAGTCCACATGTCATTTTACTCAGGCCTGTGATACTCAAAATGGTGATGGGAGATTTCCTGTTTCCATGTGCTGATAGAAGGAGAATGTTCAGATCATGTTTATTAGAAAAAGATCTATGTGTAATAGCCACTTTTGTAATAGCAGTTGCAATGAGTAACATTTAAAACAGCAATGAAAACTTCTTTGAGGAAGTTGGAGTGAGAACGCATTATGTGAAGCGTGGCCTGCAGGAGATGGAGAAAATGGATACAAATACTCATGACCTGAAATGCGACAGGGGCCGACACTTTCTGAGAGTGTTGCTAGATGAGCACCAGAGAAGAGCTTCCTCTGCACACAGTAGCCACAGTCACTTTGAATATCCCACCTTAGATTTAGCAGCAAGCAATAACTATTCTTTCTCAAGGAGAAAATTGTATTTCCTACAATGCAATAGCTCTCAGGGTTTTTGTTTTTTTTTTTTACTTTGACTTATCACTTGTCTAGAGGGAAGGAAATTCAGAATACTCATTAATGTGCTTCAGAATGTAAAAAATTGACTCTATTTCCATGAGAAATAACTTTTAAATTATTTAAATAGTTTGAGTGTCCTAGAGCAGGAGAATAAAACCATTTTTTAAAATCCATTTACCTTCTTTTGTGAAATGCCAAATCAATTTTACCTGTCAATGAGAGTAATTTTATTTTTACTATCAGGCATATGAAACTCACCAGACCTTTATCTTTATTCATTGCTAGAACTTTAGTTCATAAATGTAAAATAGAGAAATGTCTACTTTCATTCAGTCATCATAATAATCAGAGCTATTCACTGCCAGTGTCACAGTTTCTATTTTCTCCCTAGCTTCAGTGAGCTCTCATTTCCTCTTGAACACCCATTAAAGGGAATCTTTTCTGCCATCCTAGTTCCATTCCTTACTCATAAAACTCAATCCATAAAAATCTCTCAAATATTTGTTTAAAATACTTAAAAAATGTTTTCAGTTTTATTTTTCTCTGTCTTTAAATTATAAGTTGAAGTATTACCTATGAAATGAAGAAAGTGGTAGAATCCTGGCCAGATGCCCCTGTAGAGCTGAAAGAGTGCATGCTTCTCTGAACACAATGTAAAGAATAACAATAAACTATGGATTTTGAAACTATATCTCTCTCATCTTCTAATATGAAACAGTACTTCTGAACTTATACCAGGCATTCATACAGCATTAGATCTGTTGTGGGTGAATAAAAACGGGTTGACAGTGGTGGGAAGGATTGAGTGTGGGGGGCAGGTGTGCAAGGCAAGGGTGAGCAATGGGGGAAAATGGGACAACTGTAATTGAACAACAATTTAAAAACTTCAAAAAAGGGTTAAGAAGAACTTTATAATGACTCTACAGTTTGCAACTATAGTATTAGCATTTGTCCTTAAATAGTAATGAACTCGTGCTATAACTTAACAGTCCTAAACATTCACAAACTACATGATACTCTAGCCTCCTGAAAGAAAAGACATAATTTTCAAAGATGACTTCATCCATTTCTCACTCCCCCACTGGGACTGGCACTTCATCCTTGTCAACACACGTCTGTTATGTGAGTGAAGGAGGCACAGAGGTGGCTTTCATCTCTAAATGGAGCTAAATGGAGCTTATTTATAAGGATTGTTTAATGTCCATCGTAACTTTTTCTTTTTCTATCTCTGTCTCTCCTGTTATTTGATGCTAACATCTCATTTGAATAGCTGTTATTACAACACTCAATTTTTGGTACATAGCCAACTTGCCCTTTCATTCAGAATAATACACATGCAACAGGCTGGTCTTTCACCTTAAGACTAGAGAGGATTAAACAAAAGGCATAGTGAACCTTAAGAACCTTACAGGTAGAAACTTACTCACAATTTTTTTCCTGGAAGCTCTTTTTTGTTTGTTTTTTTAATGGTATACTTTATCTGAACTTTTCTTTAGGTTCAGCAATGCAGCATTTTATGAAAAAGGTAAAGAACTTTAGTACGCATTGCTGGATAAGTGCTGGTTCAAAGGCAATTATGAGGGCAACATGGAGAAACTATTAAAAAAAGATGAAAGCTATTAACATGGAGGCCATGACCAGTCTGTGGTGTCTGGGTGGACTCTAAAGGTCTGTGAATCTCTTGAAATTATGTGCAAATTATCGTGTGTATGTGCATATTGACATTTTTCTGCACATCTTTCATAGATGCTCAGAGTGGCTCTAAATTAAGACAGTTTAGGTAAGAAATTAAAGCAGCCATGGTACAAAAGAAAGAGGGATTCACAAAAGAGGCAACATGTTGGAGAACGGCGGAAGGTTTTCCATGATCATCAGGCACTGCCAATTGGCATGCGCTGCTACGGCTTCGCTGGCCATTTAGGAGGAAAACATATATGTTCATTGCACATTTAGAGTTATTAAAGACAATCATACTTTTGTAATATAAAGTAAACAAAAATTAAGTTTAATAAAACTATATAATTCTACTTTAAGCCATCTTAATTAGCCTTTGCAATAGCTGGTTAATGGAGCTCCTAGAATTACTTGCTGAATTGTAATGTTAATTGTAAATAGGCTCATCAAAGCTTAAAACCCTAATGAAACATTTCTAAGTTGTACCACATTATTAAAGCAAGAGCAATATCAATAAATAATGTAGTCAGGTAAACTCGCTTTATTAGTTAAGTGAGCATTGTTATTAGAAGGTGAATAGGCCATGAAATAAAAAGAAAATCTCACAACTTAGAAATATATATTGTTCAAATGAAAGCCAAAATCATTCCCATTAAGAAGTTTTCCTTTTCATTAAAACTCATAATTGTTTTTGCTATATCTGTAAACAAATGCTAGAAATGTTTCCCTCTTCTTAAGAGTTCCCTTTATTGGCATCAAGAGACAAACAATAAACAAGTGAATATAAAAATATGGACCATAAATTCAAGTAGTATGGTAGGACATAAATCAGAATGAAACAGAAGTCTGAGAACAAAGAACCTTAAGAGTGTCAGATTTTGACTATGTGGGCATGATAGAACTATGTAACACATATGGCAGAGATTAAACCAAACTTCCTAATTTAGGAATACTCAAACATGTAAATTTTATGTGCAAAGAGTGTTGATTAATCAAAAATCAATCTGTCAAAGGCATCAAACAAAAGAAACTTCAAAAATATCCAAAACATACAAAAATTATACTTTATGACTCACTAATTTCTCTTTAAAGCCAAAAAAGTATGTAACTAAATCATACACTTATATCAGAATGTTGATGATGTCATTTTTGTGTGTTCAAAATATGAACTCATAGGCTCATAGATGGATTCTTATTAAGCAGGCATTTGGGACTTAATCAGAGGTTAGGTCTCAGAGCCCAGCATTATTTTCGTGACCAAACCATGTATTTTAATGTGACTAATGAAAACAGTTGGTTCACCACTTATGAAATACTCTTGGTTATTGTTGGCTGATGAATAGGAGTTGCAATCTGTAACCTGCTACTTGTTCCTTTTCTTCCACATTTTGATGTTTTTCTTTCTTCTGTTTCACTACCAGTTTTTCTATTTCCCTGGATTTTCATGT